ATATGAGAAGGGAGGGAGGGACTCTCAGCAGGGATGCAGTCTGGGACACGTAGTTGCAAACCTAGCGACTTTGTTGTTAGATTCAATGACTTTTCAGACCCCCTAACGACTTTTTTTTAGAAAGTGACTTTTATCGACTTCTTCTGGAGTTTAGAGACTCTGACATGAAGCAGGCTTTCCTTACTGAGGAGTTAGCAACGCTGCTAAGGGTGCAGAGCCACACATGTGCTCCGAGCTCTGCATGGGAGACTGAAGCTGACAGAGCTGCAGCAGTTAGCAGGTTTCACCCTCAGAGACCACCAGGGGTTCATGTTGAGGCATTTTAATTTTTTTTTTTTTTTTGCCATAGACACTGTCAGCACAATCTGCAGTTACACTAACAAAAATGCTGCAAAAAACAAAGAATTATGGAAAAATTACACATGGACTAACATAGAGGAGGATCTACACAAGTTTTTTACATCATGTTTTACATCATGCATCATTTACATCATGTTTTTTTGTAGTGGCATAAATAAAAAGTGACATTTGTGAGACTATACAGTGTTTTGTAAATAATTTTACAAAGAACACCTGGGCCATTGCCTGCATTTTGATGTAAATAGAGGTAAATTACTATGTTCTTTGTTAAAAATTTGCATATGTTTTGAAGTTTACAATTTTTATTTGAAGTTTAAGTTTTAAAAACAGTTCATCACACATATTTGTGGTTTTCACAGTAAAAACGTTACTTTTTTCCACTCGGATTTTATGTTTTGTGTGTGAATTTGGGTCCAATGTGTAAATATAGTATGTCAAAATGATAAAATAACTGTAAATTGACACAGGTGAGGTTGTGCTGAAAAAAATGATACCAGGCAAGGCAAGGTAAAAATTTTGTAAGAGGAAATATAAAGGTAAAATCTAAAGTAGTCAAAAACGGCCAATAGTGACTCACAGACTCCACAGACAAGTCCCTTTGGCGCCACTCAGTGGGCAAAACTACTTTGTCTACTGTAATGTATATTTGGGTTATCTTTGGCGCCCCCTAAAACGTAAACCGTGGGGTGCAGCGTCATGATTTTTACAACTTTGAATGGCCATGGAGTGTAGATTGGCCTGAGCAAATTTGGTGTCAGTGGGACGAAAGCCTTAGGAGGAGTTAGCGAAATTCCAATGTGTGCGAATCGGCAAAAAATGCAAAATAGCCCTTTTACCGTACATTATACAGATACGCGCTCTTTGACTTTTTCGTAGATCTAATTGAGATACACATGATTGTCAATTTTTGTGTCATTTTGCCAAAGCGTACAGGCGTGACAGTCAACAATGTGTATTTTCACCTTAGGGGACAAGAAAAAATGGAGTTTTTTCTCCTGCCATGGGGGGCGCTCTTTTAGGGAGTAAAAATTCCTTCACAAATGTGTTGATGGCTGGACATTGCATCATCCTAGAAAACTTGGAGGCCAGTGAGGACAAAAATAAAAAGTTATAAGACTTTTAAAAATGTGGATTTTTGGGTTATCTTTGGCGCCCCCTAGAACGTAAACCGTGGGGTGCAGCGTCATGATTTGAATAACTTTTAATGGCCATGGGGTGTAGATTGGCCTGAGCATATGTGGTGCCGGTGGAACGAAAGCCTTCGGAGGAGTTAGCGAAATTCCAATGTGTGCGAATCGGCAAAAAATGCGGAATAACCCTTTAACCGTACATTTGACAGATACGCGCTTGGACTTTTTTGTAGATCTTATTGAGATACATGTGTGTGTCAATTTTTGTGTCATTTTGACAAAGCCTACAGGCGTGACACTCAACAACGTGTATTTTCACCTTAGGGGACAAGAAAAAATGGACTTTTTTCTCCTGCCATGGGGGGGCGCTCTTTTGAGGAGTAAAAATTCCTTCACAAATGTGTTGATGGCTGGACACTGCATCATCCTAGAAAACTTGGAGGCCAGTGAGGGCAAAAATAAAAAGTTATAAGACTTTTAAATATGTGGATTTTAGGGTTATCTTTGGCGCCCCCTAGAACCTAAACCGTGGCGTGCAGCGTCATGATTTGAATAACTTTTAATGGCCATGGGGTGTAGATTGGCCTGAGCAAATGTGGTGCCAGTGGAACGAAACCCTTCGGAGGAGTTAGCGAAATTCCAATGTGTGCGGATCGGCAAAAAATGCGAAATAACCCTTTAACCGTACATTTGACAGATACGCCCGCACTGACTTTTTTGTAGATCTTATTGAGATACATGTGTGTGTCAATTTTTGTGTCATTTTGACAAAGCGTACAGGCGTGACAGTCAATAGTGTGAATTTTCACCTTAGGGGGCGCTATGGAGCCATTTTGCATTTTCTTGTTTGGGCGACTTCGGAATATCAAATTTTTCACCAGGCCTGGTCGTCCTGCCAAATTTCATGAGTTTTCGCCAGTGGGAAGTGGGCCATTTTCCAGTTCAAAGGGGAGGAAAAATAACTAGGGCCCCGGTGGGGCACTGTCGGGCCCGAGCCGCGTCGCGCCGCCCCCAGCGCGACCGCCTCCCCCTCCCGATCGCGTCACACTCAAGGTCCAAAGATGGTGTGCGCACTTGTCTGTGGTCATTTCCCATTATAATGAATGGGAGGCGCAGTTTCTACCAAAACGCTCGCTGCAGACAAACTACATGTCCTATTTGAAAAAAGTCTGGACCATGAGTGAGGGCACAAACACAGCTAGTATATATCCAAATGGCAAGTTGCTCCTCCTTTCGGTTTTGCAGAGAGAGCGATGCGTTTGAGCCATTGAGCGATGGGCAGGAAAAACTTGACTTTTTCTCCTGCCATGGGGGGGCGCTCTTTTGGGGAGAAAAATTCCTTCACAAATGTGTTGATGGCTGGACATTGCATCATCCTAGAAAACTTGGAGGCCAGTGAGGACAAAAATAAAAAGTTATAAGACTTTTAAAAATGTGGATATTTGGGTCCTCTTTGGCGCCCCCTAGAACGTAAACTGTGGGGTGCAGCGTCATGATTTGTACAACTTTGAATGGCCATGGGGTGTAGATTGACCTGAGCAAATTTGAAGCCGATGGGACAAAAGATTTAGGAGGAGTTAGCGAAATTCCAATGTGTGCGGATCGGCAAAAAATGCGAAATAACCCTTTAACCGTACATTTGACAGATACGACCGCACTGACTTTTTTGTAGATCTTACTGAGATACATGTGTGTGTCAAATTTTGTGTCATTTTGACAAAGCGTAAAGGCGTGACAGTCAACAATGTGTATTTTCGCCTTAGGAGACAAGAAAAAATGGACTTTTTTCTCCTGCCATGGGGGGGGCGCTCTTTTGGCGAGTAAAAATTCCTTCACAAATGTGTTGATGGCTGGACATTGCATCATCCTAGAGAACTTGGAGGCCAGTGAGGACAAAAATGAAAAGTTATAAGACTTTTAAAAATGTGGATTTTTGGGTTATCTTTGGCGCCCCCTAGAACGTAAACCGTGGGGTGCAGCGTCATGATTTGAATAACTTTTAATGGCCATGGAGTGTAGATTGGCCTGAGCAAATTTGGTGTCAGTGGGACGAAAGCCTTAGGAGGAGTTAGCGAAATTCCAATGTGTGCGAATCGGCAAAAAATGCAAAATAGCCCTTTTACCGTACATTATACAGATACGCGCTTTTTGACTTTTTCGTAGATCTAATTGAGATACACATGATTGTCAATTTTTGTGTCATTTTGCCAAAGCGTACAGGCGTGACAGTCAACAATGTGTATTTTCACCTTAGGGGACAAGAAAAAATGGACTTTTTTCTCCTGCCATGGGGGGGCGCTCTTTTAGGGAGTAAAAATTCCTTCACAAATGTGTTGATGGCTGGACATTGCATCATCCTAGAAAACTTGGAGGCCAGTGAGGACAAAAATGAAAAGTTATAAGACTTTTAAAAATGTGGATTTTTGGGTTATCTTTGGCGCCCCCTAGAACGTAAACCGTGGGGTGCAGCGTCATGATTTGAATAACTTTTAATGGCCATGGGGTGTAGATTGGCCTGAGCAAATGTGGTGCCGGTGGAACGAAAGCCTTCGGAGGAGTTAGCGAAATTCCAATGTGTGCGAATCGGCAAAAAATGCGGAATAACCCTTTAACCGTACATTTGACAGATACGTGCGCATGGACTTTTTTGTAGATCTTATTGAGATACATGTGTGTGTCAATTTTTGTGTCATTTTGACAAAGCGTACAGGCGTGACACTCAACAATGTGTATTTTCACCTTAGGGGACAAGAAAAAATGGACTTTTTTCTCCTGCCATGGGGGGGCGCTCTTTTGGGGAGTAAAAATTCCTTCACAAATGTGTTGATGGCTGGACATTGCATCATCCTAGAAAACTTGGAGGCCAGTGAGGGCAAAAATAAAAAGTTATAAGACTTTGAAATATGTGGATTTTAGGGTTATCTTTGGCGCCCCCTAGAACCTAAACCGTGGGGTGCAGCGTCATGATTTGAATAACTTTTAATGGCCATGGGGTGTAGATTGGCCTGAGCAAATGTGGTGCCGGTGGAACGAAAGCCTTCAAAGGAGTTAGCGAAATTCCAATGTGTGCGGATCGGCAAAAAATGCGAAATAACCCTTTAACCGTACATTTGACAGATACGCCCGCACTGACTTTTTTGTAGATCTTATTGAGATACATGTGTGTGTCAAATTTTGTGTCATTTTGACAAAGCGTACAGGCGTGACACTCAATAGTGTGAATTTTCACCTTAGGGGGCGCTATGGAGCCATTTTGCATTTTCTTGTTTGGGCGACTTCGGAATATCAAATTTTTCACCAGGCCCGGTCTTCCTGCCAAATTTCATGAGTTTTCGCCAGTGGGAAGTGGGCCATTTTCCAGTTCAAAGGGGAGGAAAAAGAAAAAAGAAACAAAGAAAAACCCCTTGGGGAATAATAGGGCTCTCGCAGCTGCTTAGCAGCTACGCTCGGGCCCTAACTAGGACCCCGTTGGGGCACTGGCGGGCCCGAGCCGTGTCGCGTCTCCCCCCCCCCCCCCCCCAACGTGCTGCCTCCCCGCCCCATTTGTGTCCTCTGGCCATCGCCCTCTCTGTTAACGCCCATCACTGCAAAGACCCTTTTCCTTCATCGGCGTTTGCTGTTCTTCCTGCCAGTGCGTGTTGCTTTCACTTACACTTGCCACAGCCAGCCTCGTGAGTGCCTAGCCTATTGGATATCACTGTCACCTACACAGGACAGTCATTACCTTTCTATTAATACTTTGTGTTTTAATTTCACATTAATTTCCATATTGTATAAACGACTGGAAAAAACTTGAGCCCCTGCCCCTGTATAATCATGTGCATGTCTCTGTTCTAGCTCCAAGGTGAATCTTCACTGCTCATGTTCTCCTCAGAAGCACTCACCTCACTCCCCTCAGGTTACTGTACACATGCACCAACTGCCTGCTTCAGGTTTGGATGGAGCTTCATGGTTGTCTTTTGGAGAAATGACCAGTCAAGTTGTGTTTGAAATTTGATTTTTTTCAGGGGCAAAAGGAGCCTCTGCATTCTTGTCAAATATGTAAATAGCATGTTTTTGCAGGTGCTAAAAACCAGACTCTGAGTGTGTGTGTGTGTGTGTGTGTGTGTGTGTGTGTGTGTGTGCGTGTGTGTGTGTCTATGTGTGCGTTCAAGTCACATGACATATTTAACCGGATGTAGCTGCAAGACGGAGCCTCGTTGACTCTCCGTTTCAACTTATCTCAAAAGTGAGGACCTCAACCTATATACCAGTTTTTAAATTGTGTTGATAGGCCAAATAAAACCAGAGTTATGATAAATTATGTCCGCGATACTTTTTTTCTGCTTATTTTGATCACGTTCGGCGCTCGATCGCGCTGTATGAGACAGGAAAACATAGCATGCAGACATTAGCGACAGGTCTTACAGGCGGAAAAGGCTTGCCAAAAGAAAAAAAAAACACACCACAACATCTCTCCTATTGGTGGAAAACTTCACCACAACAACCAATCCAAAATTATATGGTGACTGATTGACAAGGGGCGGGCGCTTACGTTCTTCCTGCAACATGAGAAGGGAGGGAGGGACTCTCAGCAGGGATGCAGTCTGGGACACGTAGTTGCAAACCTAGCGACTTTGTTGTTAGATTCAATGACTTTTCAGACACCCTAACGACTTTTTTTAGAAAGAAAGTGACTTTTATCGACTTCTTCTGGAGTTTAGAGACTCTGACATGAAGCAGGCTTTCCATACTGAGGAGTTAGCAACGCTGCTAAGGGTGCAGAGCCACACATGCGCTCAGAGCTCTGCATGGGAGACTGAAGCTGACAGAGCTGCAGCAGTTAGCAGGTTTCACCCTCAGAGACCACCAGGGGTTCATGTTGAGGCATTTAAATTTTTTTTTTTTTTTTGTGCCATAGACACTGTCAGCACAATCTGCAGTTACACTAACAAAAATGCTGCAAAAAACAAAGAATTATGGAAAAATTACACATGGACTGACATAGAGGAGGATCTACACAAGTTTTTTACATCATGTTTTACATCATGCATCATTTACATCATGTTTTTTTGTAGTGGCATAAATAAAAAGTGACATTTGTGAGACTATACAGTGTTTTGTAAATAATTTTACAAAGAACGCCTGGGCCATTGCCTGCATTTTGATGTAAATAGAGGTAAATTACTATGTTCTTTGTTAAAAATTTGCATATGTTTTGAAGTTTACAATTTTTATTTGAAGTTTAAGTTTTAAAAACAGTTCATCACACATATTTGTGGTTTAATTTCACATTAATTTCCATATTGTATAAATGACTGGAAAAAACTTGAGCCCCTGCCCCTGTATAATCATGTGCACGTCCCTGTTCTAGCTCCAAGGTGAATCTTCACTGCTCATGTTCTCCTCAGAAATAGTCACCTCACTCCCCTCAGGTTACTGTACACATGCACCAACTATCTGCTTCAGGTTTGAAATGGAGCTTCATGGTTGTCTTTTGGAGAAATGAACAGTCAAGTTGTGTTTGAAATTTGATTTTTTTCAGGGGCAAAAGGAAGCCTCTGCATTCTTGTCAAATATGTAAACAGCATGTTTTTGCAGGTGCTAAAAAACAGACTCTGAGTGTGTGTGTGTGTCTGTGTGTGTGTGTGTGTGTGTGTGTGTGTGTGTGTATGTTGGCGTGTGTGTATATGTGTGTGTATCCTGCAGTACTCTGTACTCCTGCAGTGGCCAAAAAGACTTTTAAGAATGTGGATTTTTGGGTCATCTTTGGCGCCCCCTAGAACTGCAGTACTCTGTACTCCTGCAGTGGCCAAAATGACTTTTAAGAATGTGGATTTTTGGGTCATCTTTGGCGCCCCCTAGAACGTAAACCGTGGGGTGCAGCGTCATGATTTTTACAACTTTGAATGGGCATGGGGTGTAGATAGCCCTGAGCAAATTTGGTATCGGTGGGACGAAAGCCTTAGGAGGAGATAGCCACATTCCAATGTGTGCGAATCGGCAAAAAATGCAAAATAGCCCTTTAACCGTACATTATACAGATACGCGCTCTTTGACTTTTTCGTAGATCTAATTGAGATACACATGATTGTCAAATTTTGTGTCAATATGACAAAGCGTTCAGGCGTGACACTCAACAATGTGTATTTTTATGTAAGGGGACAAGAAAAAATTGCCTTTTTTCTCCTACCATGGGGGGGCGCTCTTTTGGGGAGTAAAAATTCCTTCACAAATGTGTTGATGGCTGGACATTGCATCATCCTAGAAAACTTGGAGGCCAGTGAGGACAGAAATAAAAAGTTATAAAACATTTAAGAATGTGGATTTTTGGGTTATCTTTGGCGCCCCCTAGAACCTAAACCATGGGGTGCAGCATCATGATTTGAATAACTTTTAATGGCCATGGGGTGTAGATTGGCCTGAGCAAATGTGGTGCCGGTGGAACGAAAGCCTTCGGAGGAGTTAGCGAAATTCCAATGTGTGCGTATCGGCAAAAAATGCGGAATAACCCTTTAACTGTACATTTGACAGATACGCGCGCACTGACTTTTTTGTAGATCTTATTGAGTTACATGTGTGTGTCAATTTTTGTGTCATTTTGACAAAGCGTATAGGCGTGACACTCAACAATGTGTATTTTCACCTTAGGGGACAAGAAAAAATGGAGTTTTTTCTCCTGCCATGGGGGGGCGCTCTTTTGGGGAGTAAAAATTCCTTCACAAATGTGTTGATGGCTGGACATTGCATCATCCTAGAAAACTTGGAGGCCAGTGAGGACAAAAATAAAAAGTTATAAGACTTTTAAATATGTGGATTTTAGTGTTATCTTTGGCGCCCCCTAGAACCTAAACCGTGGGGTGCAGCGTCATGATTTTGATAACTTTTAATGGCCACGGGGTGTAGATTGGCCTGAATAAATGTGGTGCCGGTGGAACGAAAGCCTTCGGAGGAGTTAGCGAAATTCCAATGTGTGCGGATCGGCAAAAAATGCGAAATAACCCTTTAACCGTACATTTGACAGATACGCCCGCACTGACTTTTTTGTAGATCTTATTGAGATACATGTGTGTGTCAATTTTTGTGTCATTTTGACAAAGCGTACAGGCGTGACAGTCAATAGTGTGAATTTTCACCTTAGGGGGCGCTATGGAGCCATTTTGCATTTTCTTGTTTGGGCGACTTCGGAATATCAAATTTTTCACCAGGCCCGGTCGTCCTGCCAAATTTCCTGAGTTTTCGCCAGTGGGAAGTGGGCCATTTTCCAGTTCAAAGGGGAGGAAAAAGAAGAAAGAAAGAAACAAAGAAAAACCCCTACAGGAATAACAGGGCCTACGCCCGGCTGCTCTGCAGCTGGCTCGGGCCCTAATAATAACAAAAGAAGGAAACTACAGGAACAAGAGGGCTCTCGCAGCTGCTTAGCAGCTACGCTCGGGCCCTAACTAGGGCCCCGGTGGGGCACTGTCGGGCCCGAGCCGCGTCGCGCCGCCCCCAGCGCGACCGCCTCCCCCTCCCGATCGCGTCACACTCAAGGTCCAAAGATGGTGTGCGCACTTGTCTGTGGTCATTTCCCATTATAATGAATGGGAGGCGCAGTTTCTACCAAAACACTCGCTGCAGACAAACTTCATGTCCTATTTGAAAAAAGTCTGGACCATGAGTGAGGGCACAAACACAGCTATGATATATCGAAATGGCAGGTTGCTACTCCTTACGGTGTTGCCTGGAGAGCGATGCGATTGAGCCATTGAGCGATGGGCAGGGTTAACTTGACTTTTTCTACTGCCTTGGGGGGGGGGGGGGGGGATGTGGATTCCTTTAAGAATGTGGATTTTTTGGTCATCTTTGGCGCCCCCTAGAACGTAAACCGTGGGGTGCAGCGTCATGATTTTTACAACTTTGAATGGCCATGGGGTGTAGATTGGCCTGAGCAAATTTGGTGTCAGTGGGAATAAAAGCCTTAGGAGGAGTTAGCCACATTCCAGTGTGTGCGAATCGGCAAAAAATGCAAAATAGCCCTTTAACCGTACATTTGACAGATACGCGCGCATTGACTTTTGTGTAGATCTTATTGAGATACATATGTGTGTCAATTTTTGTGTCAGTATGATAAAGCGTACAGGCGTGACAGTCAATAGTGTGAATTTCCACCTTAGGCGACAAGAAAAAATTGAATTTTTTCTCCTGCCATGGGGGGGCGCTCTTTTGGGGAGTAAAAATTCCTTCACAAATGTGTTGATGGCTGGACATTGCATCATCCTAGAAAACTTAGAGGCCAGTGAGGACAAAAATAAAAAGTTATAAGACTTTTAAATATGTGGATTTTCGGGTTATCTTTGGCGCCCCCTAGAACCTAAACCGTGGGGTGCAGCGTCATGATTTGAATAACTTTTAATGGCCATGGGGTGTAGATTGGCCTGAGCAAATGTGGTGCCGGTGGAACAAAAGCCTTCGGAGGAGTTAGCGAAATTCCAATGTGTACGGATCGCCAAAAAATGCGAAATAGCCCTTTAACCGTACATTTGACAGATACGCCCGCATTGACTTTTTCGTAGATCTTAGTGAGACACACCTGTGTGCCAAATTTTGTGTCATTTTGACAAAGTGTAGAGGCGTGACACTCAACAATGTGTATTTTCACCTTAGGGGACAAGAAAAAATGGACTTTTTTCTCCTGCCATGGGGGGGCGCTCTTTTGGGGAGTAAAAATTCCTTCACAAATGTGTTGATGGCTGGACATTGCATCATCCTAGAAAACTTGGAGGCCAGTGAGGACAAAAATAAAAAGTTATAAGACTTTTAAATATGTGGATTTTCGGGTTATCTTTGGCGCCCCCTAGAACCTAAACCGTGGGGTGCAGCGTCATGATTTGAATAACTTTTAATGGCCATGGGGTGTAGATTGGCCTGAGCAAATGTGGTGCCGGTGGAACAAAAGCCTTCGGAGGAGTTAGCGAAATTCCAATGTGTACGGATCGCCAAAAAATGCGAAATAGCCCTTTAACCGTACATTTGAAAGATACGCGCGCATTGACTTTTTTGTAGATCTTATTGAGATACATATGTGTGTCAATTTTTGTGTCATTTTGCCAAAGCGTACAGGTGTTACACTCAACAATGTGTATTTTCACCTTAGGGGACAAGAAAAAATGGACTTTTTTCTCCTGCCATGGGGGGGCGCTCTTTTGGGGAGTAAAAATTCCTTCACAAATGTGTTGATGGCTGGACATTGCATCATCCTAGAAAACTTGGAGGCCAGTGAGGACAAAAATAAAAAGTTATAAGACTTTTAAATATGTGGATTTTCGGGTTATCTTTGGCGCCCCCTAGAACCTAAACCGTGGGGTGCAGCGTCATGATTTGAATAACTTTTAATGGCCATGGGGTGTAGATTGGCCTGAGCAAATGTGGTGCCGGTGGAACAAAAGCCTTCGGAGGAGTTAGCGAAATTCCAATGTGTACGGATCGGAAAAAAATGCGAAATAACCCTTTAACCGTACATTTGACAGATACGGCCGCACTGACTTTTTTGTAGATCTTATTGAGATACATATGTGTGTCAAATTTAGTGTCATTTTGACAAAGCGTACAGGCGTGACAGTCAATAGTGTGAATTTTCACCTTAGGGGGCGCTATGGAGCCATTTTGCATTTTATTGTTTGGGCGACTTCAGAATATCAAATTTTTCACCAGGCCCGGTCGTCCTGCCAAATTTCATGAGTTTTCGCCAGTGGGAAGTGGGCCATTTTCCAGTTCAAAGGGGAGGAAAAATAATAATAATAACAAACTAGGGCCCCGGTGGGGCACTGTCGGGCCCGAGCCGCATCACGCCGCCCCCAGCGCGACCGCCTCCACCTCCCGATCGCGTCACACTCTAGGTCCAAAGATGGAGTGCGCACTTGTCTGTGGTCATTTCCCATTATAATGAATGGGAGGCGCAGTTTCTACCAAAACACTCGCTGCAGACAAATTACATGTCCTATTTGAAAAAAGTCTGGACCATGAGTGAGGGCACAAACACAGCTAGGATATATCCAAATGGCAAGTTGCTCCTCCTTTCGCTTTTGCCGAGAGAGCGATGCAATTGAGCCATTGAGCGATGGGCAGGAAAAACTTGACTTTTTCTCCTGCCATGGGGGGAGGGGGGGGGATGTGGATTCTTTTAAGAATGTGGATTTTTGGGTCATCTTTGGCACCCCCTAGAACGTAAACCGTGGGGTGCAGCGTCATGATTTTTACAACTTTGAATGGCCATGGGGTGTAGATTGGCCTGAGCAAATTTGGTGTCAGTGGGACGAAAGCCTTAGGAGGAGTTAGCCACATTCCAATGTGTGCGGATCGGCAAAAAATGCAAAATAGCCCTTTAACCGTACATTTTACAGATATTTGCGCATGACTTTTTCATAGATCTTATTGAGATACACGTGATTGTCAAATTTTGTGTCATTTTGACAAAGCGTAGAGGCGTGACACTCAACAATGTGTTTTTTCACCTTATGGGACAAGAAAAAATTGACTTTTTTCTCCTGCCATGGGGGGGCGCTCTTTTGGGGAGTAAAAATTCCTTCACAAATGTGTTGATGGCTGGACATTGCATCATCCTAGAAAACTTGGAGGCCAGTGAGGACAAAAATAAAAAGTTATAAGACTTTTAAGAATGTGGATTTTTGGGTTATCTTTGGCGCCCCCTAGAACCTAAACCGTGGGGTGCAGCGTCATGATTTGTACAACTTTTAATGGCCATGGGGTGTAGATTGGCCTGAGCAAATTTGGTGCCGGTGGAACGAAAGCCTTCTGAGGAGTTAGCGAAATTCCAATGTGTGCGGATCGGCAAAAAATGTGAAATAGCCCTTTAACCGTACATTATACAGATACGCGCTCTTTGACTTTTTCGTAGATCTTATTGAGATACACGTGTGTGTCAAATTTTGTGTCAATATGACAAAGCGTTCAGGCATGACACTCAACAATGTGTATTTTCACCTTAGGGGACAAGAAAAAATGGACTTTTTTCTCCTGCCATGGGGGGCGCTCTTTTGGGGAGTAAAAATTTCTTCACAAATGTGTTGACGGCTGGACATTGCATCATCCTAGAAAACTTGGAGGCCAGTGAGGACAAAAATAAAAAGTTATAAGACTTTTAAGAATGTGGATTTTTGGGTTATCTTTGGCGCCCCCTAGAACCTAAACCGTGGGGTGCAGCGTCATGATTTGTACAACTTTTAATGGCCATGGGGTGTAGATTGGCCTGAGCAAATTTGGTGCCGGTGGAACGAAAGCCTTCTGAGGAGTTAGCGAAATTCCAATGTGTGCGGATCGGCAAAAAATGTGAAATAGCCCTTTAACCGTACATTATACAGATACGCGCTCTTTGACTTTTTCGTAGATCTTATTGAGATACACGTGTGTGTCAAATTTTGTGTCAATATGACAAAGCGTTCAGGCATGACACTCAACAATGTGTATTTTCACCTTAGGGGACAAGAAAAAATGGACTTTTTTCTCCTGCCATGGGGGGCGCTCTTTTGGGGAGTAAAAATTTCTTCACAAATGTGTTGACGGCTGGACATTGCATCATCCTAGAAAACTTGGAGGCCAGTGAGGACAAAAATAAAAAGTTATAAGACTTTTAAGAATGTGGATTTTTGGGTTATCTTTGGCGCCCCCTAGAACGTAAACCGTGGGGTGCAGCGTCATGATTTGTACAACTTTTAATGGCCATGGGGTGTAGATTGGCCTGAGCAAATTTGGTGCCGGTGGAACGAAAGCCTTCGGAGGAGTTAGCGAAATTCCAATGTGTGCGGATCAGCGAAAAATGCGAAATAGCCCTTTAACGGTACATTTGACAGATACGCCCGCACTGACTTTTTTGTAGATCTTATTGAGATACATGTGTGTGTCAAATTTTTGTGTCAATATGACAAAGCGTACAGGCGTGACAGTCAATAGTGTGAATTTTCACCTAGGGGGCGCTATGGAGCCATTTTTCATTTTTTTGTTTGGGCGACTTCAGAATATCAAATTTTTCACCAGGCCCGGTCGTCCTGCCAAATTTCCTGAGTTTTCGCCAGTGGGAAGTGGGCCATTTTCCAGTTTAAAGCGGAGGAAAAATAACGAAAGAAGAATCCATCAGGAACAAGAGGGCTCTCGCAGCTGCTTAGCAGCTACGCTCGGGCCCTAAAGAAGGAAACATGCAGGAACAAGAGGGCTCTCGCAGCTGCTTAGCAGCTACGCTCGGGCCCTAAAGAAAGAAACAAAGAAAAACCACTTGGGGAATAATAGGGCCTACGCCCGGCTGCTCTGCAGCTGGCTCGGGCCCTAACTAGGACCCCGTTGGGGCACTGGCGGGCCCGAGCCGTGTCGCGTCTCCCCCCCCCCCCCCCCCCCCCAACGTGCTGCCTCCCCGCCCCATTTGTGTCCTCTGGCCATCGCCCTCTCTGTTAACGCCCATCACTGCAAAGACCCTTTTCCTTCATCGGCGTTTGCTGTTCTTCCTGCCAGTGCGTGTTGCTTTCACTTACACTTGCCACAGCCAGCCTCGTGAGTGCCTAGCCTATTGGATATCACTGTCACCTACACAGGACAGTCATTACCTTTCTATTAATACTTTGTGTTTTAATTTCACATTAATTTCCATATTGTATAAACGACTGGAAAAAACTTGAGCCCCTGCCCCTGTATAATCATGTGCATGTCTCTGTTCTAGCTCCAAGGTGAATCTTCACTGCTCATGTTCTCCTCAGAAGCACTCACCTCACTCCCCTCAGGTTACTG